GTGAGTATCAGAATGCGAAAAAAGCTTTTAACCTCGAGCCATAATTGTGACTGTACCAAATCAACTAGAGTATTTTGCTTAGAGTAAATTTGGGGTTTCTTTACAGTGAAGAAGGTCTGCTATCAGAAATTGTTTATCACCTAAGCAGCAGGTATGTTTTTCGGGCAAGGCTATGCGAAACTAAGTATTTCTGAAAGTGGGGTGGCAGATGGGAAGCAAACCCTTGGGAAAAGATTGAAATCAACATTTTGATTAAACTACATTTAAATGGAACCACAGAGAATAAATTAAGTGTAAGCATTGTATCCAGAAAGGATCCCAGGCAACAAATTTGGTTAAACATTTTTCACTGCACAGAGAAAGACCTCTTTGAGTTCATTAAAGTATGGGTGGATAAAAGAACAGTTTTCTTCTTAGTTCTGTATCTAAATTCATTGTAATTGCCTTTGCTGACATTTGCGCTATGTAAACAAATTCTCATTTACATTTGCTTTCATCTTTACTGCTAAGTGTGATTTCAGAAGTGTTGGAAGGCAAGTTGGGTGTATTAAGCCTTAAAACTCTGTGCTGGTTGCTGTGATGCCATTCCCAGGGCTTCCAGAAGGAAAAAACTGTGCTCTTCTGGAAACCAGAGGAATCAGGGCTGGTGGCAGGCACTCAAAGCATTTGCACAACAGTAATATCCTTCCCCAACCTGGACCAGGAGAGGTTTTCCCTAGTAAGGACTGCCAGCACCCTACAGTCTTAGAGTAAGTTTGTGTCAGTGGCCCCCCTTCCTCCCTAAGTTTAAGGAAAACACTCATCCTCATCAATGCTCTCTCCAAAGATGTTAACCATCATGACATTCCCATTCCCTTTCTTCCCAGCTTTCATAATAACTGTTAATGGAATAAAGTACAGTCTCTCTCGCAAAGCTGACTGCAGGTGGTCACGGTCAGAGTCTCAGGTACTAGTGCTTCAAGAGCAATTCCAGTTCTGTTAACCAAATGATGTTCTCAGCACTTCATGAAAACAGAAAGAGGAGTTTTACAGTAATAAAATCAACAGCTGAGATACAACAGAGAAAACTGCTAAGCAAACCTGAGATTTTGAATTCCAAAGTAATAGAGAAGACCTTTACAGACAAAGCCTTGAAGACATCTGAGGAAAGAGAGCCCTTTTCTTTCTCCATAGTCTGACTAATGCATCACTTCAAGCTAAAGAGTGATTTGTCTTTCCAGTTCATGCACACGATATACGACTGTCACAGCCCTGATTTTTCAAGTGCTCAATACCCAAAACTCAGAGACGCCTGGATTCGCCTAGCTCCTCTGAAAAGCCAACTCAGTGTTTCTTCTCTTCTCTGAGCAACATTTTCAGCACAAACTAGTTTGAACAAATATATATTTACAGCAGTCCTACTTTCAGAAATGCCAAACAAGGCATCAAAGTTTATTTTTGCAGTGAGACAGGACAACTTACCTTCTCTAAAGCAAACAAACAGAGTCTGACCTTCTACTCCAAAATGGATTTTTTTTTTTTAAATCATGGAATTTCCTGAGAAAAACGAAACTTGTGGTTTCACCCCATGTCCTCTCTTGCCAGCCTTCTTCCTGCTCAAACATGAAAGCCAGGAAACTCAGTCATTACCACCTTCTGCCTTTACATCTCATGGGCTTGCCAGGTGGCTCCAGTTGTGTTTTTGCTTCAGAAAAAGAGGCTTAGCTGCTTCTATTGCTGAGCATAGATTGATAGTTTAGCATATTCAGAAGCATCAGAGATTTACAACTGCCTTGGTATGGGAACTCTATTCATGGGCCATTAATCTACCTCTTTTATATGTAGAGTAGACAATGAATTTCATATGACAAAAAAATTTACTATATGAAAAGGTCAATTTGAAAGTTTCCCAAATAGGTATTATCTGTGCAGGAGGGAGGAGAGGTGGGCAGGGAGGATAAAGAAGCCAACACTTTTACATTTTGGTTTGTCCCCAGAAGACAAAATTCCTTCTCCCCCAGCCCTGCCATGTAGTTCTTCTTAGCAAGTTGTGCTTTTTACTGAGCTTTTGTTTCATCAGTTCGTTTCAAACCATACACCAGGCAGGTTAGGGGGTGTTGGATAGCATCTGTTTAGAACCTCCAGCACCACAAGCACACTCCTATTATCTTTACTAAATGGTTGCAAAATCTCATTCAAGACAGAGCTTTCTTTGGTAAAGAAAGCAAGCCATGTTTTACATAGATTTAGGTGGAAAACCCCTGAAGAGTAACTTCTGAGACTTTTACAAGCCTATCCGGAGCACAGGCAACCACATCAGTGAACAAAGAAAGCTCTACCATGCCCCAACACGACCAAGAGGCAACCATGTTTGCACCCAGGTAGTTTGAAGATAAGACCTTGAGGCTTGAAGCCGAGGTAGAAATTTCTAAATTGAAGCGAAACTCAGCATAAACATTTGTTTTCTACTCCAAGGGTGCAAGAGTACCATCTGATGGTATGATCCCATCTGAACTGTCATCTCATCTGAATTTAGCTGCCTACATGCTGGACCTCAATTCAGTATCTGTCTCTCCCCTGATGTCTGCAGACAGGCATAAGCATTTCAGAGGAAGATTCAATCCACCTCTTTGGAATACCCAGAAATGATACCTTAAATTTTGGTAGCTAAAGGTGAGTCCAGACTGACAGTGAGTCTTCATCAAGTTTACATTAAATTAATGTAGGACAGTGCAACTGTCAGGTCCCCAATGGCACTGACAGGCTTTAGTCACCCAAAGCAGCTGGTAACCATCTTTCTCTGTTGAGGTCTAGCTATTAGCCCATGAGATGAAGATGAACAACCAAGCTGTATTAGCAAGAATCTAGCCAGCAGCTGAAACAAAATTTATCCTTTTCCCTTCTATTTGGCACTCATGAGACCGCATGTGGAATATCATGTCTAGTTTTGGAATCTCTGGTAGAATACAGACATTGACAAACTGGAATGAGACCAGCAGAAGGCCAGTAGCACAGGCCTGGCTCACACAAGTATAAGAAGGGTCTGAGGAACTGGTCTTGTTCAACCCTAAGAGGAAGAAAACACTCAGGGGAGATCTTATAGCTGTTTTCAACAATCTAATGGTATCTTGCAGAGCAGACAGAGAAACTTCAGGTACATACACAGCAAAAGCACAAGAGGCAAAATCGTGCAACAGGCAACAGACAAGTTGTGACAAGAGAAATTCCAGTTGGATCTTAACAGAAACTTTTCCCCACTAGATGTGGTCAGTTGTTGGCAAAGACACTCAGAGAAGCTGCAAAGTCTATGTCTTTGAGCTCAAAACTCAACTGGATGAGACCATGACAACCTGACCGATCTCGCCACGCCATTAGCAGAAGGTGGGGGGTGTGAAACTGGAAGGTCTCCGCCACAAGTGTCTGTGCAACTCAGGGTTCACTCAGTTTTCACTAAGCCATTTTAGACCTCTGCCAACTTTAGTGTGGGCTTTCTAGGCATTCTATTCCACTACACTTGGAAAATTAGGGTAAAATCTATGCTTAAAGTGGAAAACAAATTTGATGTACTTCCTAAAAAAAAAAAAAATTCAGAAAGAAATAAATGTTTTATTTAAAAATTTCCCAACCAAAACATTTTTTGTTAGTCCAGTCCTAGATGTGTTGAAAACCCCAGTTTTTCTAATCTCTACTAGCATATGCATGTGTGGGAATAAAGTTTAAAGTTGAGAGGTCTAAGTCATCTTTACTAAAAGAATGTTCCTTTTGACAAAAGCTGACAGTCTGTAATTGTTTCCAATTCTATTGGGTGTGCCACTCCTATAGGCTCCACCAAAAGCCACCTTTCCCTAATGTCCTATTGATTCCTCAGAATTGTAGAAGTTAGCAAGACACTTGAGCCCTGGGAGGGATGGATACGTGGCTTTGTTAACATTGAACTGACTTCCTCACCTCTTTCTTGTGTTTCTGAAACAAAAAATTGGATTTCTGCAATCACCTGGAGGACAGCAGGGGAGCAGAGGAGTAGGTGCTCTCACTATGGTCACAGTTAACAAATCTTCAGTCTGACCTGTCCTAAATTGTACTTTGTATAGTTGCATGCTTGGAGTCCCCAGATTCTCTAACACAAATAAATGAAAATTGAAGTGCTTAAAGCTGTGTAACTTTCATAGTTTATAAAGGCTTTCACAGTTCACCAATACAGAAAATGAAAAAAACTCAAAGGTGCAAAAAACAACTGGCCACCCATAATCACAGGGCTGAAACAAGATTAAGAACTTAAAGGCAGCTTTCCTCTCTACAGCAGTTCCCAGCAAAGGCAGTCAGAAGAGGGGAGGAAATCTAATAGAATCTATTTGGCATTCAAAAAAGGCATAAAGCAGAATTACTGAATGAGTGGGGAGAGAGCAAAAAGGTTGGACAGTGTTCAAAGCAGTAATGGCTGTGAATGCTAATGTCCTTACTGCAATTCCCAACTAAGCCATTTTAATGTGATGACAAACAGCAATAACACAACGCTGCATCACACTCCTACCGTAACATCATGACATTACATGCTACAATTTTGAGATAATTAACTTACTTCATCATAAAATTTTGCCATTGCATCTGGCCCTAAAGTATGCCAAAAAGATAAGGAAATTCTGCACCAAAGTAGAATTGGAGATTCACAGCATTTTCCCTCTAAGGGTGTGACAAAATTGTACTACAAAAGTTTGTGTTTCCTGATTAACTGCTGAATATATTGCTTCCTTTATGTTCTTTATTACAGTACTCCTTTCAGTAATTGAAGAAAAATATTTATATAATCTGTCTGACAGTTGCTTAGGTTGTTGAATATACCCCATATAGAATCTGAATTCCATCCTCACAAAGGGTGAAGGTTTATGTTGCAAAGGTTTTTGTCCCAGTTTTCCTTCCTTGTAGAGAAACAGCACATCCCACTCACTAGTGGGACAAATGCTCCTTTGTTCAGAGCATGGGGCTGTCCTATGGCATCTGAGCAACTCTTAGTGCTTGTTCAAATTCTTCCCACTTAAGTAGGACAGCACAATCAGCTCCTGAAATTTGCAGAGCTTAGGTAAGGCTCAAAGCTCTCTGAGTTTCTTAAGAAATATTCTTTCCGAAGCAAGTCTGATTAAAATCTGGCTGCATCATACAAGATCCTATGAAGAGCTCAGCTAAAGAAACTCCTTTGTATTCCCATGGATAAGATGCTTGTTTCCTATAACTACATGAATGGGAGAAAGCATATAGTTTCTGAATCAGGATCAAGACTCAGGTTTGGTTGGTTAACTTATATTTTGCTTGAATCTTATCAACTTGTTTTCTTTCTTTTATGTGTAATTTTCCAGCTCAGATGGATTAGTGGTTTTGATATATTTTCTTGGGAATGAAAAAAATACTATTTTGGAAGAAGCTCCTGATATTAATTCTTCTATCAATGTCCCAAACATTTTGAAGATGAACCTCTCAGTTATCAAGTCATCACTTACATGACTGTTGGAAATAGGTAATGTGTCTCAGGTGACTAACACAGGCTGAAATCTTTGCTGTCCTCTCTTTGCTCTTATGGCTTAGCCATGCCAGAGTGAAAACTAATTGCAGATTTTTCTTAATCTGCTGCGGCTATGCTTTCACACTGTCCCAGTTTTGTCTGGGTTAAAATTAATCTTCTTCATAGTAGTTTGTATGGAGTCATGTTTTGGATTTGTGCTGAAAACAGAGTTGATAATACAGGGATGTTTTAGTTAGTTATCACTCTCCACAACTACCTGAAATGAGATTGCAGTGAGGTGGGGGTCAGTCTCTTCAACCAAGTAACAGGTGAGAGGACAGGAGAAATGGCATCAGGCTGCAGTGTCTTTATCTCAGCCTGTGAGTTCTCACTTTTACTCTTCTGATTCTCTCTCCCATCCTACAGTGGGGGGAGTGAGTGAGTGGATGCAGGGGGCTTAGCTGCTGGCTGGAGTTAAATCACAACACAAGCACAGAGTACCTATTCTGTCTGAAAGCTCTGCAATCTTCACCTTTTTCATCACAGAGCTGAAGGAACAAAATCAATGCTGCAACACAGTGTTGTCAATGTAGTAAATCTCATTTCAACACTGTATTGGAGAAGGCAGAGGGCAAGGTGTTCATTTCAAAGCTGAACAGATTTCACCCATTGACACTCATACCTACAAGGACTAAGATGCACAGGCCTGATGCATTTGAGCATCAAGCTCACAGGTCTTGAAGACATCTGGCCATGATTACTTCCTGTGGAGGAGGACAAGGTGTACAGTTAACAAATCCTTACCACCTCTTCAGGGCTCTTCTCAAGTTATTTTTGCTTATATGTGCCCTTCAGCAGCAGCAATTATGATTCTCTTTCTAGTTACCCTGTCTTATCTCTGCCAGTCATCAGGATTTCCACACTGGTCCTTCATCTTCTTATAGGAATGTATTATCTCCATGCCTGTTACCTTCCCATTATATCTCTTAATGGCTGCAGACTGGCCTTTTTTTCAGCTGACCTTTGTTTTCTTCATTGGAATGCCCTGAGAAATAGAATGTAGGTGGGCTGGGATCTCTAAGACCTGCTAACCTAGGTGCTATCAGCATACCTCTTGTACATCCTGCATTTCTTTTTTTCTGGATGATTCCACACCCAGACGTCTCCATTTGGGCCAGGGTGGCCCTTGGCCTCCCAAAAGGCCTTGTTGCCTCTTCCTCTGGGTAAGCCCTGATACAAGGCGCCTGTAATTCTGGACCAGATGGGGTGGAAACAGTTTGATTCTGAGAAGCTGTGAGAAACCTCCAGAGTGTGGAGACATGGAGCTGAGGCATCCCATGGGTGAGGTGCCCAGCCTGGGCATCTCTCACCTCTCCCACGCGTTGCCTCAGCACCACCACCTGCCCAGACACCAACGAAGCCTAGTTACCAAGACCATGAGACACTGGCCCTCACCTTTCCCAGGTCATTCGTATTTGCTACATGTCTCCACACCCTGGCTGCATTAACTAAGAATATACTGTTAACAAAATTATTTCAGATGTTCCAGTACTGCTTCTTTATTCTCAACTCCGCTCATAACATCCAGCAATTACCATTACTTCTTGTCTGACTTTGCTTTCCACATTCAAAACTCTCAAAGTTAATTTGATTAAGAGTTTTTAAATTCACTTTTCACATATACTATTAAATTATTTTTGTTTCAAATACATTTAATCTAGTCTAGCCTCAAGCACTGGAAAGTGTATCCCAAATCTTTTTCTACACCAAATTACTAAATTATTTCCATTAATGTAACAGGTTACACTTTAAAAATATTTCCAGCACTAAAATATAGCTTTTTTTAGTGTTAAAACACATTCCCACTTCTGTAAGAACTGTAGAATTATGTAACTAATATGGCTCAAGGCATTGCAGGAAGGTTGCTCTAAGTAGATAACGCCAACTGAAATCACTTTTTAACATAATGAATAAAGCTTTGCCTACTGCTTTTCACTGAACATTTTAAACCTCAAAAATCTCACTAAATCTCCTATACTCACTGTTCAATCATTAGGGTTCTATAAAACAACGGAAATTTTAGGCAGTTATTCTTCATCACAAAGCTTGAGGAAAACCCGTCAGTGATTAATTTCTTACTACACATTGTTTTCATTGTTGTTGCTGTTCATTTTACAAGGATATCCTTCCTATGTTGAATTTAATGCTATAGGTTTAGTCTGAAGAAAGAAAAAAAAAAAAGTTTCATTTCTGTCCTGTGTTGTAGGTAGTTCCTCCATGTGCTGGGACTAGAATTTGATTTTCAACACATATAGGAAATTAGTCTTTGCCTTACAGAAGCCTTTTAAGCTGTGGCATTCCTGTCACTTCTAAGATAAAATACATTCAAGATCTCTGACAAGTATTAACTTTGTGGTTGACATACTTCTCCTTGCACTGATTTATCATTACAGTTTAAGACCCTGTGAAATGTGCAGGCCCTTTGAATTCTCTAGATTGGGATCCATAAAATGTGACAAAAACACACAAACAAACAAAAAACCTCCAACACAAAAAAGACATGCTGTTCTTTACCAGTTGTAAACTTCAGACAGCGCTTATTTCCTCTTCTCTTTCCATATAATTTACTCTTTCCTCAAAATAACATCTAAGAAATCCGAGCTGGTAAGTGAAAATGTGAGCTAAGTACTAGAAAAGAGAAAACATGCTAATTTAAACCTTGAATTATACTGACAGTGTATAACAGAGACCTTGAGTGTAATTCCCATATCAAACTTGCTATTGACTTCTTCTCAGAGATGTCATCTCTAAATAAAAGTAAATAAAACAGTATTCTGCAGCCACAATTAACCATCTCAGTTTATCACACCATGTACTAGGTGCACAAACCTAAACTCTACCTGTTAAGTTTGATTTCACTGCTATAGTTTCTATTCAAAAAGTGACTAAAAGACTGTAAACCATTGACAGATATACCCCTGAATATACTGAGGAACTGATGAAAGAAAACACCTGAAGTAACACAGAGATGTTTGAATAAAATTAACATACACAGATATGGAAAAATGCTTATTCATCCAACTTAGTTTTATGATCAAACAATGTATTCACATCTAATGTGAAACTCAATCGTTGCTGGCATAGAACAACCATAAAAATAAGCAAAAAGGAGCTCAAAGGTACTTTGTATGCTCCCAAAAAGAGAATATGATGATGAGCACACAGGAAGTTTCATTTTAAATATGCACATATAGTCATATACTAATGGTGTCTAAAAAAGAGTCACACAATACTTTTTCCTTTCTGTGAAATATATCCTCAGACTGGAAGCAGTTTTACCTAGTGCTAATTGCTCCTGAGCTGTGTTAATTTCTATTAAATATTTTTTCTGTGCCCATCAACAACTTGGGGTGTTCAGATATGTCATGTTATTGTGTTGAGCTTTTTGTTAATTTTTTCTAAGCAATATTTCTCTTTATCCATTAGCTCATTCACATTAATTATAGGTTGATTTTCTCCCTGCTCAACTTGACAAACTTGTATGCTGTCTTCTCTTCATTTACTCTATTTTTATGAACTTATGCTGCTTTTCTTTTCATTTTAGGTACTCCTCCGTGGTTTTATTTAGGTGATGACCTCCATGGCATTATAAACATTATAAAACTAAGCAAATACAAGCCTGAGCCCTTTGTTCCTAAGTTTTTAGAATTTGCATATTTCATTACATGTGAACAATTTTCCTGAATCTTAACCTGAACTGTTTTAGTTTTAAATAAATGACTATCAAATGCTTCTGAAGTATTGTCTCCTTTCTGCAGACAAATCCCAAAGAACCAGTTTTCAATTATTCATTGGAACATGTTTCTTTTAGGAAAAGAGTACAATAAATCTGAGTATGTGTGTTTACTTTGTGTTGTTGCTTTCTGATGGATTTATTCATATTGTTATATTACATGCAAAATGTTCTTTATATTGCATGTCATCCAACTATTATTTATTCTATTTGAGCTTCTCTTGTCATAGGCAACGATGAAGACCAAGAGCAGACACAGGAAATGACTGTGTTTACATCACAGCACTAAACTTATTTGCTTTTCAATTGACCATCCTTTAGAAAGAAAGTAGTTTAATCAAAGGAGATCTCTTTAAAGTGATTTTTTTTTGTATGATTTTACCTTATCTCTGTTAATACATTTTCCCCAAAAAGGCCATCCCAATGCCACAAGATACAAATCTAGACAACATACTACCAAAGTAAAGCTAAACACAAGGCAGGTAACAGACTGTGAACTGAATAGTTGACTTTCAACAGAAATTTCACTTCTTTGCCTCTCATTCCTCTAACTGTGCTAAATAATTAAGAATTACCAAGAGGTTCTTTCTAATCTCTCCCTCTTTCTGCTCCAGGAAAAGACGAGAGAGGAAAAACCACAGCATTAAAAAGAAGCAAAATTTCTTTTAAAAATATACTTCAGAACATGCTCAAGGTTAAGTCCACACGTGACTCATCTTCTCTACACACAAAAATTATTGGATAAAATGCTATGGTTTCTGCTATACACTTGTTCCTCATACCTTACTATCTGTGAAGTTTTCCCTTGATCCTTGTCAGCAGCATCCATAATTTTTATATGTGAGCATCGTGACCTACTTTTCCAGATCTTTAGGCACCACCATTGGCTATTTTTAGCGCTCCACTGACTCATTTGATGTCTCTGCACGTAGAGGTCTACCCACTGAGGAAATTCACCTCTCCTCAATTTTATTATCATGTTTCCACCAGCTTGAGACCACAGATGTGGAAAGTATCCTGCAAGTCTGGGCTAAGACGAATTTCTCACATGACCTACTACAAACCACAGTGTTGACCCTCTGGAGAGGGGGTCAAGTTGCCAGTCATAATGGCTAAACCTCTGCATGCTCACAGAGCAGCTTACACACGTGTGGAAATAAATTATTTCTTTCTTCATTGACAACTTCTCTCAATGACCTTTATTTAGAAAATTTTTTTTGAGCAGAAATTAAGACACCAGATTCCTGACTGCCAAGACAAGTCTGCACGACAGGAGGTCCTCTGCTGATTCCCTCCAAAGGCAGATGCTTTGGGCATGATTCACAGTGGAAAACAAGAGCAGCAGTGCAGTTACTCCACAGTACAGATGGATGTTAGCAAGGAATGTAGTACAACAAACCTTAGAAATAGCCATTTAGGGGGTAAAGAGCAAGAAATGCATTACTCTGAGAGTCACATAGGAAATGCAAGGCACTAACGAGGTATGACTTGCTTAAAACAATCACTACCTGTCACTATGAACTTAAAACCTCAGGGCCAACGTGACTTGAAAACCCAACTTAACAGACTCACTGGCTGAGAACACCACAAACAAACAATGACACAACAGGATAGTTGTCTAAGGAGACCTTGGCACTTGATGAGTCACACACCTCACTCCGTTATAAGGCTCCTTCATGCGCTGGGCTGTGATACCACTTTGCGTATTAGATAATATGAGAAAATAAATTCTCTGATTAGCTCCATGCTGAGTGTCCTTGTCTCTCTTCTCAAAGAGCTGACTCTGACACAAGATATAACTCGTGAGAACAAGGTATCAAAGAAAGGGAGAAACAGGCCAACCACCATCTCCAGTAGCAGCCCCACCTTTGCGGTATCAGAGTTATTTCAGGTCACTACCAAAGACAGCTGCCCTACCAGAATTACAGGATGAATATCAATCTATCAGGATGGGGAGGAAGGCTGTTACCAACCTTACAACCTCCTGCATGAAGATATGCTGTTGTATTCCTTGTTTTCTCACAGATAAAAAAGTCAGTTACAGCTTCATCAATAGAAGTAATCGCAGAAGCCACTGTTTCTCGGTAGGTAGAAGTTGTAAAGCCCAGGATCGGATCGTGGTACTCAACATAACAAGTATTTCTACTTCTGTTTCCACTGCAGGATTGCTACAGATTTGTAGATCCTTGTCTTTCAAATGTATAAGTGTTAAAGGTGTCTGTGGCATGCAGTGTGGCAACCCATCCTCTGCCATCAAAATGCCTTTTCTGTATCAAATTCAAGTGCCCTTGCAGGATTTCTAATGACTTATTTCCTGTATATTCTGTACCATTGGTCTTGGACTGGAAACTGAGCAGCCTAGGGAGCAGCTTAAACGAAAAGAGAGATTTTTCATGCGTACTGAGCTTACTAAGAAGGCCAACTGAGCAATTCAGCTGGTTAAAAAAGCATTTTTGTAGGCTTTTCAAATGTGAGCCTAGATAACTGAAATTATTCATAAATACAAAGAGTGTTCCCGGGCTTTAAAGAAAGACTGCAAAGCATACCTAATAATTATTAGATTGAAGAAATTAATTATGGGAAGTCACAGATTCTGTAGAAATCTTTCCTGAGACACTACCACTCCAGCTGTTCTGCATTTTGATTTTAAATATTCTTTATTTCTCAAGAAGGAAAAAGCCTTAATCATGCTTCTCATGCCTACTGCTAGATGTTTTGAAAGGTAAAATACAGAAAACACCAGAAAAATTTCTCATTCACATAGCACCTAGGATAGGTGGGAGGTTTTTTACATTTAGTGCATGGTAGCATCCTCTAAAGTGAAAAAAAGAAGGAAGAGAGATTTATTGACATAGTTAGGTAGAGCTGGTTTTCTCAAAAAAAAAAAAAAAGTTACCAAATAAAATATGTCACAATATCAGTTTGGCTTGCATACCTGCTGCCACTTCTGATCTCTGATCAGTAAAGATAATTATTTCAGAATAATGTACAAACTTATTTCAAACTTGAAGCATAGATAATATCTGTGAAGCTTTGGAGAGCAGAACAAGCAAGTCAATGCCTTTGCTAACAATAATGGAAAGGCCATGAATCACATCTCTTCAGAAAGTCCTTGTGCCAGCCTAGAGTCACTTAAGGATATAAACTGAATGAATATTCTCAGGTCTCAGTCAGTTATTGCCAAAATCAGAATAGGACAAAACATCACAGATCAATACCATCAGAAACTCTGCAGCATATGCAAAAACCTCATACTTCTGATGCCACTGTTTTGAAAGAACAGGACAGCAATGACCCTGACAAAAAACAAGAGAGAAATTTCCAAGAAATCACCACGCTGCAAGTGTGGTAATGATATTACGAGACAGAATATATCTTTTGTTGGGAGAAAAACAAGTACCTCAAAAAAAAAAAAAAAATCCAAAGGACACATGAAATACTGGATAAGTAAAAGATGCTACATATGGAGCTGTAGTACAAAGTCCTGCAGTGCTGAAGACGGACAGCAAAACCTCTGGGTTTGCCAGTAAAGGGATTGTGGCTCTACCAGACAGCTGACCCAATCTCAGAAGATGGGAAGCTTTTCCTTCAGGCTTCTCCTCCACAAATGTGGGAAGCAGGCCGTGAAGTCAAATGAAGTACCTAGTTTGGCTTTAATTGCAACCCTGCAACAACTGCTTCTTTACTTACCTAATTGCTGCTGAACTTTTCTGTTATGCTTGCTGATTACATGAACAAGCGTAAGGTGCAGCACCTCAGTCAGAAAGGGAAGATTCACTAATCAAAATTTTCACAGAAAAATCCTGACATTTACCCATATGTGTATGTAACCTTTCAGCAAGTTTTCATTTGTTATACACAGACAACCACTTATGACAGCAAAATAAGACTAAGATTACATTATACCACAGAGTTTGCAGTACTACAGGCAAATCTCTCTGCTTTGAGTTAACCAAGCACCCAGCTGAGGAAACTGAGCTTCTCAAATAATCTAAAATTGCTATACAATATAAAAAAATACAGTTAGGGTGAATTCAGATACTGTTGTCATCAGGGGCATACTAATTGCTATGAAGTTATTGCGCAACTCAGTGCCTCCAAGGATGCATCCACGCATCCAGCAAGTCACAGCCATTAATGAACTCTTTCCTATCAGACAGCTGGATTTAGGAACCCCTAGCAATAGGTTCAGCAATAATATATCTTGCAGTATGTGATGGTTCGGACTTGGTTCCTTGCCAAATGCCCAAATTCACAGTAGCAGCCCCTCCTTCCCTCTCCCTTCTTTGCCCAAGGGAAAAGGAAAGAAAACTATGCAAATTGAAGAACCTGAAATCAAGCTAGTTATATAAAAAATATATATTTTATGTATATTACAGTTATATACAGTTAAGACGCTATGTATACAGCAAAAGGGAATCCAAACACCCCCGAAGGGATAGGGAAAGGGGAAAAAAGGGACAAAAAGGGACACTGAACAGGTATACGCAATCAAACTCAAGAACTATACTAATAACTGACAAAACAGATTTCACCACATCCCTTAGAAAAAGCAGGATTGGCAAACACGGCCAGCACTCTCCAATCCCCCACGTGTCAGGCCAGCGGTCACTGCAGGCCTCAGCCTTAGATAAGCAAGACCAACACAGGGACCCACTGTTCCCGAACCTCACCAGAAGAGAAGAGAGTAAAGGCCTCTCCTCCTTTCTTATTTACAGCCAATTTACGTAAAAATCGTATGGAATACTGGGAATACTGCCCCTTCCTTGGTTACAAACTGGTCACCAAGGAAGGTTTAGATTAAAACTATCACACAGTATATCCAAACAGTTGGAAGGTAAACCCAGAGAAGATTTACTTGTGTTGACAAAGTAACTGGTTGCCTTGGAATTGACTTGTGCAGAACAGCATTTGGCTTGTCCAAGGTTTTGTTCTGCAATGCTACTACAACTTCTACAG